GATTTACGAACAAAAAGAACTAAAAATGTGTTGCACCGGGAAAATAATTAAATACGAGTAACCAAGCAGCAATAAATACATTAGAAGTTCTTGGGGCAATTAGCAGCGAAAGAACAATATCGCTTTGCGAAATGAATACCGCATGCAAAGTCTGATGGTAAGTGGCCAGGAGGAAAACTTCCAATAGGATGGTAAGATCTCGCTAGAACTGAAACGAATCGGAAGGACTGAAAAGTGAGCAGTTACTTTTTCGATCAGGGTGGATTGCTTGTACGGCACTAATTTTCGGCGTAATATGAAAGATGAAGAAGAATTAGTTCCTACTCGTGGACAAAAATGAACCTATCAACTATTAGAAACACAATAAAATATTAAACAAATTGCAAGGATCAAAGGTTAGCAAATTTGGTGTAAAATAGCCAAGAAGTTTCTAGAAAGGACTTGATAAAATCAGAATCAAGTTCAACTCAACGCAGATCAATTCAAGACAAAATTTCAGGGGTAAACGGGAAGCAAGAATCCACATATTTGCGTAGTGAAGAAATTTCGAACTTTTGGAGAAACTTTTTCTGGGGGTCACAAAGTTCACAAGAATCAAACCAAATTTTCATTCATTAGCAATTAAAACGCAATTAGAAACGATACAATCCGCCTGAATCTTTAATACCACCTTGTACAGCAGAATTGCTTAACTAGTACCATTAAGATGAATCAATAAAAATTGAGAAAAACATTAATTATGTCTAAGAAGCTGCCACTTAAATCTTTAATGCGAATCTAAGAATCAGTCAGTCAAATTTACTTAGGTGACCCCTAGGGCGAACGATACGTTGCAAAACCTGAATATAATAATGAAGAAATACAAAACAACAAAACCAGCAGATAATATCGTCTGTAATAAGTGAGGGATTCCAAAACAATGGCAGACAACTACTCTCTTCGATGATGATCTTTTCATCTAATTTTAATCTTCTTCAAAGTCAGCAGAAAAAGTTTAAATACCGCAGTTGTATGGTAGTCAGTAATCTAGATGTCATTCCAACATAAGCGTCATTTATACATGCTTGCATAATTGACGTTCTTCAATGAGCTTGCTGTCCCCCTTTAGAAACAGTCATATACATGCACCGAATGAACTGAATATCTATATTGAAAAACTGTACTTCGTTTAAAACGGCAATTACTTGTGGGCGGTAATGAAGGGACATTCGACAGCGAGTGCTGCGGGGGGAATCCGGGAGGCGGGACATTCGTAAGAGGTATAATACAGGGAGGAGGAAAGGAGATGTCCGGGAACTGGATATTGTCTTGACCGACTGACGACGGCGCGCCATTCGCACTGGACGTGCCGATGCTTGGTACCGTCGACGATATCTTCTGTGGCATATCGGCGGTGGACTGCGGAGTCTGAGATTCCGGTGAGTGGCTTGGCGAACTCTGCAAAATAGACGGTTGCTGTAGGACAGTGAGGTTGGACTGATGGCTGACTACGGGAGTAGACAACACAGGCGCAGGGTGCGGAGGCATCGTCTAAAAATGTGGAAGTGAATATCAGCAGCAATGAACGTCGACAGCAATATGCACCTCAGGTTTGGTCCCGGTCAACACCGTGCGCATGATCGGCTGTGGTTGCATAGACGGAGTGGGTGGTGCCAGATTGGTGATGACTGAGATGCCGGACGGGCCGGAGTTATGATATTTAGACTTTTCGTTGAGTACAGACTGGACAGGGTTCGTCAGACCGGTAAGGTTGACGAACAGCACCTTGTTGGCGTTCATCGGACCGTACTCGGCGCGCAGCTTCCTCTGTCGCTCGCAGTAGATCAGCCATGACTCCTCAGTGAAACCGTAGTTGAAGTAGTCGGTGATGTCAGCGCCTGGCTTCCGCCATGGCTGTTCGTCCAAGGCGTTGATATCCAAATCGTATATTGATGCACCGTTGACCGTAGCAGTGCCATCGATATCAAGTTTGCTGGTGTGTTTTCCACCAGGCTGTTTGTTAGAACCGCGAAAGCTAAAAATACAAAACGCCGCCGCATAAAAAAACACAACTGGTCAAAACCTGAATCAGAGATTGACAGCAAACTCAACATTGGAAATACTACTTGAGCATCAAAACTTTGAGGGATCATGCTGTGAAAATATGCTGCTGTTACAGAAGCATTCACTGTCAATCAAATCGTTATTTTACGGTCTTAAATCTGCTACATCCTTTTCTTTTATGTAGACGTGAATGTAAATTCAGGGCAAAACTTTTTATACCACTAGAACAATAAGCGCATACCTCTAAACAAATCGGTTTCAGTTGCATTTCATTACAGACGACTAGCGACTCTGCCTTAGTCACAAAGGATCGGCGTAATTCACAAAGCTGTCTGTATTTAAGTCGATTCGCATCCCCATGCCTATCCATGCTCATAATTCGTAGGCCATGACTGAAAAACCCCGATCCCGCGTAGAAGCGTTTGAAATGG